TATCGATCATCTTCATATGGACATACTCGTTGGCGTTGACCACCCCACCACTCTTGGGGTGGGGAAATTACGTGAACGAAGCCGCTAATATCAGGTAATCTTTTATACTATTGATATAATAATATGAAATTTATAGACAAAACCACCCAGATCCGAGACAATAAAGAAAAGGCCATTCAATATTGACCCGACCGGGAATAGAACTTGAGATCTCAGAGATGGCGACACCTTGAATCTGGTATACGAGCCACTCGGCCATGGAGGCCGTTTGTTATCACCATGCGATTATGTTTGACGTATAGTCATTTCATAGGCTATATTAATGTGGATACGTTTTACTTCAATGGAAGATTTCCTAAGGATGATTGTTAACAAAAGGCAATAGAAGTTGTAATCATGAAAAGCGTTGAAACTAGCTTTGATCCAAAAGTGAAAAGACCAAAAACAAACGAAATAATGGTGCAATTGTTGCCTTTTAACAAGTAATTATTTAATTTGGAAAAACGATATTTTTTCATTGATGGCCTAATGAATAAAAATATGAGAGTCAAATAGGTAATGGTAAGGTGCACGCGAAGGTGGGAGGGCCATACGCTGTCTAATAAATATATAATTTTGAAAATCGGTCAATAAAACACAGAAAAATCGGTAAACGTACAAAAATATATATACCTATTAGAAGAAACTCCTCTTTTTCGATGTTAATGTCGATTTAAAAGAGCACTAATCGTCTTAAACGCAAGATATTTTAATTCATTAAATACTTAAAAAAACTGACTCACCCTTTTTTGTGTTTTCTATATTCCAGAAATTTAAATAGAAAATATAAAAGTATATGACGAATGAAATGTCGAAAGGTCACGAGGTTTCCTAGTAAATTAGTAGGGAAATGAATTTTATAAATACCACAATAGCACATTTCTCGTCTTATAATGTATGTATTGAAATTATGGGTAATGAAGCGGAAGAATGAAACTCATTTACACGTGACTGAGCGTATGTTGATAAGAACATGACGAAAATATAAATAAAATTTAAAACAACTACATTTAGGAAAAGTTTTGATGTTTAGAAGTAACCGATTAATATTACCATAACTATAGACGAATTTGAAAAAATCTGCTAAAGGAGTGAATTTTCTGATGATTTTAAATTTTATTGTCCAAAAATGTCATATTGCCAAAATGGAACATTTTTAGAGTCCCATTTTTCTTAAAATTCATATCATAAAATGCCAATCAATCCTGGATCCTATATAAAAAATGATATGGCCAGAATGTCAATTTTGAAGTGCCCTCATTGCATCGAACGAAGTTAAAAAGGAAACAATTTATGGCAGATAAATTTCATTCCATAAGAAAGAAGTTACAAAGCTAATTACTGGTTTTATATTTATAGCTTGTAAGGAAGTTCTTTTACTTTTAAAAGCTTTTACATCTAAATAGATTATCTCTCCTTGCAATATTATTATCTGCCATATTTTATTTTAAGCTTTACATTCGCCTCGCCATCCATGCCTGTCTTAAAAATATTACTATAAAATGCGAAATATTTTCAAAATAATTTATTGCAGATTTCTGATCTTTCGTAACAACCTGATGTCGGTATGGTACATTAATAATATAAGAATATTTTTTTTAGATCACAGCATTATATGATAAGTACCTATAAAACGAAATACTCTCACATGCCGAGGGGTGAGGACCAGGTGATTTGTAATATAGACTTATCCCATTTCAAATGCCAGCTCCTCACAGTATAAATATTAAGTACCCAATGCAATGTAAGTTTTTATGAGGAGAATAAATAAATGGCATTAAATAAAATCTTTATTCAAATAAACTTAAACTATTAAAAATTTACCCTTCTTTGCATAATGTTTTTGTTCTTAATATACTTTAGTATTATAATATTTCTTGCCATTTTCACAGCATAATGTTACGTAACGTGAAAAGAATAAATTTCGAACCAAGATCAATTTATTTTCATATCATATAATTTTTCTTACAAAAGTGAAGGAATTGAAATAGGTTGAGGTTGATTGATTCTGGATATCCATGTATGCATGCATGACATGAGGAAATTCATTAGGAAAAGAAATAAAACTGAATTAAAAAAAAATAATAATTTAATAAGTTTAAAATAAAACCTATTGAAGTCGGACGGATGTTTTATTTTATTTTTATATAGATAGCCTGACTTCAATAGAAGTTTCCTCGGACAAGCCGTTGCCATCTTTATGTTATGAACATTCCGTGAACTGCTCAAGGACTCATAACTCATACAGGACAAAGCTTTAATATAAATCCCATCATTAAATTTTGAGTTTATTTATTAACACGCACACGCATTTTGTAAATTATGTTTGATATCAATGATCATATTTTATTACCTCTATTTTTTTTTAAAATGAACATTCTGATTCCTTACAATTTTTTTATGAGAATTTCTTTTTCTTAAGAAATTCTTAAAAGCAATGTCTACATTTTATTTTGTTACAAAGAATTCCAAGCCTCAAATACGTAATACGCAGAAATGCAAAAGAAAATCTTTCTTTTGCATTGATGATCAATATAATATTTTGGTTAAATACAAAGAAGTGTCATGTCTCTTCACTACAAATATTTTCCATGAAATGATTGAGTCGTCATTTATAAGGCTTCGTTGTCAATATCTAATTAATCTTTCTATGGGGGCTTAATTCCGTCAAGGGATCTTTATACTTTACACGTGCCGTTGCCATACGTCTGGCTAAGTCCAGACAATCACTGTCTGGTGAGGCCCGAACCAAAGAAATACTCATTTGTATTTTATGATTAAAGTCCAAATAGTTAACATGAAACAAACAACTTAAATTCGAATTTATTTACTTAGTAAGATTCTTTTGAATTTTATTATTCAGTGGTTATTTTACTTAGTATTTGATAACTAGTTTTTATAGTCAGCTTTTAGATAGATAATTTTCATTTATTCAAAATGCAACGCATAACTACATTATGCAGAGAATAAAAATAAAACACAATTAATAAAAGGAAAAAAAAACAAGAGAAAAAATGAACCAAGAATAAGCATGTGGCTGTGTGTAGCAGAGAGAAAGGGTCTAGGCTCAGTGCATTGAAATCACCGATATGGTGAAGCACCGATTTTCAGCCGTCACCCCAGCTGAGACGAGAAGGATCAAAATAAGAGAAAAGGAGTAAAACGAAAGAACAAAATATAAGTTAAGAAGCACGTCAGAAAGAAATATGGTCAATGTTATAATATTGTCAGAAACTAAATAACATACCTATATATAAATAATCAATAAATAATAAAGGGTAATAGAATAATAATTAAAATAAATATGCTAATAATATGATGTCAAATTTGGATCAACATTTTATATGGCTTAAAAATTTTAATGTTATGTCAGATTGCAATCAATTATATCAAAAGGTAGTAAAATTATTTTAAATACTTATATTTTAATTAAAGTTAAAAGATTAATGTGCCTTCAATTTTAATTTAAATGACAATTTTATATCATTGTCATTATCAACATTACCATCAGATCAACATCTGCCCACTGCTGGTGTTCTGGCCTTTCCTAAGGACGGAATCAAACCAAATCGAATAAGGATTTAGAATAACCTATAACCTACTACGGATAGAATAGCCAGTGTGTATTGGTGGATGTTAACGACTGCAGATCCAGGAGAGGCGTTGCCTTAATGTGCCTTCCGAAGCACGGCGGAGCACGAAAATAAATCGGTCACCCATCTTATGACCGGCCCTTGCGAAATTTGAATAGCACTAACTACTGCGCCATGAGCTAATTAATATAATGGTGACTTTAATAAATATCTGTGCTATTTTGAATATTTTTCTTTTGTAATATTACTAGTAATCCACCCAGGATTGTTGTATCGGTACAATTTATATGTGGTATCTTCAAATTCGTTGTTTTGTTCCGTTATCAGCAATCAATCATCAGCGAAATTTCGAAAAACTTCGAATACTGCTAAAGTATCCAAAGTATTTTTTTTAGAATTTCAAAAAAACATAATAACAATTTAGTTCAATCAATCAATTATCAGCCCTTTTACATCCCCACTGCAAGGGCTCAGGCCTTCCTTATCGATAGTTAAGGAGGATGGGCCATGACCATCCACGCTGGCCTAATGCGAATTGGAGGTAATTAACAACTGCAAATGCAGCCGGGACCAACGGCTTAAAATTTTTAGGTCACGCATCCCGTGACCGACTCTTGCGAGAGTTGCTTAACAATAAGGATTGCGGCCCACAGCGCTTATCTTCTACGCTATCGAGATACTTCCCGTTTAGTGACTTTAGTTACTGGGTCATGTTAGATATTTTGATTTATGAAATGCCGCGAAATTTTCGCTCGACAGTCTATATTAACATTATAATGAAATAATAGTACATTACGATATTAGTGCGTTATGATGGTTATAACATGCTCGGCTCAATTACGCCCTCACCTTCGGCTCGGGCTGAAATTCCGCCATGCATGTTATAACCAATACGCACGTATATCGTACGACGTTTTTAACACATTTGCGAGGAAACAGAAAAAAAAACATTAAATAAACTCAATCTGTAAATGTACACTGTTGCTTTCCCGCCATTTTAACAGAAATTTGAATAGCAACAGCGCGCGAAATGGCAAATAATACTGTTATGGAAATTGTATGGACTATAACTTTAACTATTTGCTTTGGTAACACACGAGTTTTTTATGACTCGCTTTACATATTTAAAACCGGTGGAATTATATCAGCTTTACGAGCAAAGGTGTTCAAAAGTTTGTAACATCGTTTGATTGTTTATATGTGGTAATCTTCAGAAATACTGAACAGATCATGAAAACTCTTTCGTCATACGTAGGTAATAACGAGGCTAGTGTCGCGTCGAAAAATCCAGTTTAATATAATTTTGTACATCTTTACAGTTGTTCTGTGAACTGGCACGAGCAGTCGATGAACACATTGACTTACATCATGTTCCTGTTCGCTATGGGTCAAATAGTTCCCCTGGGCGTTATTACCTTCAGCTACGTCAATATCATCAGAACATTGAAAAAGGTAACGTTGCCAAAATTATTAAGATATTTTTATGCTATTAATGCGAGTTCAGCTGGTCATTCTATAATTATATATATTCCAAAGTAATATATGAATAGACTTACAAAAAGAAGTGGGTTTTAAATGTTTGTTTGATGAAACTAATAGACCGTATTTTAAAAATTCTTTCACACTTTTCACGGCTATAATTTTATTCAGTTAATAAGTAATAAGGGTGTTATATCAACATTTTAAAATTAATACACATTTTTAGATATATTTTTATAAACACGAGCCAACTGTTTCTGCATAAAAGAGATTTTTTTACGCCGCCATTAATTTATTTCACTGCTGGTAATAAATATCAGCTCCGCTTAAATTTTTAGCTTCATCCATATTAGTGGGACTGCATAGTGTCACCGTCACGTGAAATAAATTACTACGTAACAGCATTCTTTACTTTTTTAATTTTATATTTATCGTCACGTGCTATAAATTCTCAAATAATCCTCTTACTCTAAAAAAGCTCACTAAAGAATCCATTCCAACTAAACAAAACTTTAAGCTACGACGTGGAATCAAGGGCTTAACGTGTCTGTCTAAGCACAGAGTAGCTCGTGTTAATAAATTATTAGACACCTATTCCAAGACAAGCATTGTGGAAGTTACTTAACTATCATATTACCACTACCTCTACCAGATCCTAACAAGCTATAAACACTGCGAAATCGAGCTCTTGGGTCGTTAAAATTAAAAAAAAAATTATATGAAAACTCAAGAAATATCCACAAGAGGTATCTGTGTGTGTATATCTGATATTAACATATTTTTTTATTTTCAGAACTCCCAAAGATTGGGTCGTGTGAGTCGAGCAGAAACCAGAGCGACCGCCATGGTATTCATAATGATCATAGCATTTACTGTAGCTTGGACACCATACTCTTTGTTTGCTCTAATGGAGCAATTTGCAACTGAAGGCATAGTAAGTATAAGTTTTTCATTGATATTCATAGCATTTATTTATATGATGTTCGACTGTTTCTCTAAGTAATTTTAGTGACCAGTCACTGGATTTTACTTAACTATTATCAGATTATAGTTTAAGATTAATTGCTCTTTGTACCCGATTTGCTATCGACTTAATGCTTTATTTTTTGCTCTGTAGAAAACTCAAAACTTGTGTTATAATATATTTCTGCATATTGACAATCTTGTGTTAGATATGGGTTTGCGTTAGTAATATTTATTTGACGAGATTCAAACCCAGTCCTAGTTTATGTTTAGATTTCTAAAGAATGGTGGGAACCATTGTTGTGCAAAGTTTACGAAAATAGTTTCGAATAAATATCTTGACCATTTATTAAGCAGGAAATAGGTAGGAACATCGTTTTATTGTCAGTTATGTGGGTCTAGGGTGAAATAGAGGGTTTTAACGACTGCTTTGTAAAGAGTTACGTGGGTTACGAAGCACGAGCTAATATTAATGCTATTCCATGAATACGATCGTTCTTATATATCTTTCTGGAAGGTTTATTCAACCTATTCTTTCCACCGACTCAAATGCGTGAAATGATATCGATATTTAATATAAACAACCTTTAACATTTTATAATATTATCGCAATTTCGTTCACAGTTCTCCCCAGGAGCAGGTGTTATTCCAGCACTGGTCGCAAAAAGTTCAATTTGCTACGATCCACTTATCTACGTCGGTATGAATTCTCAAGTAAGTTATTCATCTTTTATGAACGACAGTATCTATTTACTTATGATAGTGAATTATGATTATTTTTATGAACGAGGCATAATGTCATTAATCATTACTGTAGGCTGTGTAGTTTCCAAAGATTGATAACTAATCCTCGTAATTCTGAGAATAGCAATGTTTTAAGCAAAGCTCTATAAGTTAACACATTTCGGTAATGGATTTTGATCGTTAGATTATATAAGTATGTGCTAGTTTATCCCATTTATCTGCTTTTTAAAAGTTTTTATTGACACTGTTTCTATGATTTCGAGTGAAGTTGTATTGGATTATTTAACTACAGTATTTTGGAGCTAATAAATAGTATGTTCTTTGTTATAGTTCCGTCAGTCCATTAAACGTGTCTTCGGTATGCATAATAAAGGAAAACAGTCACAAACCGAGAGAGCATACAATAATACAGTCTTGTCTCCAGCACATAAGGCGTCAATTAACAATGAAACAACACGCTATATATCCGAAAGCACTGTATCAATAATTCCGAAAAAGGTAAAAGATACAAAGAGAATTGTCTTTAGTGAAAGCATCTCTGAAGTGGTCAACAACGATACCAACCGTCCTTATACAAGAGATTTGGAACTTTGCACTATTAATGAGAACCGAACCATATCGGACGCCGACAAATCCGGCGAGACTTCTTACGACGAAGACAGCGGAAATAGTCGCAAAAAACTTGACTTGTTCGGTGAATCATGTAAAATATTCAATAAACGTTCACCTGTACTGACAATAATTGATACTGAACGTCTTATATACAGTAAGCCACTCAAACATAAGCTAAGTGATATCGAAGATAGTAATAATGCATACGGAAACGCTGCCTACGAAGAACATTCCACTGACACAGCAAAAGCAGACGGTTTCAGAACTGAAGACGATTTTGAAATAGTAAAAAGACATAAAAGAATTAAGCACAGCTACTCATTAGATCTGAGTGTACACAATGAAAATAAAAATAGGAAACTTTCAATAGAATCAAAATTCGATACTCTTGTTGAACCTAAAGGATTCTTCAAAGACTCTTATATTAGTAAATTTTTTGATCCCGAAACGAGTCAAGATGGTGTTAAAAGTTATATATGCAACGTAAAAGGGAAAGGTAAATTTGACAACAATTTGTAACTTTAGACTGGATACATATGTGTGGGAACAATATGAAATTAGTAAATTATATTGACATGGTTAAAGTTATATTGCTTATATAGTAGAATATTCGGGTTGTCCGAATTATGCGAATGTATTGATCTGATGAGATCCAGTCGAAAAGGTGCTGATTTAGAATGATGCCTAATGGATACTGTTGTCAAGGATCTGTGATATAGATACGAGTGCCAAGGTATTAAATATTAAAATATTTTTGGGAATAAATAAAAGTCGCTATTTATATATTAATAGTAATAAATTGAAAAGAAATGAAGTCTTTGAAGAATCTATCATATACTGCTCAATTTTTAACTGAAAAATCTTAAGGTATATTTAAACGACTATCTCCAGGATAATTTTATGTGACACACTGCTACGAAATAAATGGGTCAAAGTTTGCTTCCAACTATTAGTAACAGTTGATTAGTCAAATTAATGGGTTTTTGTGAACAATCAACTTGAAGAGAGATAAACATTTCTTAAACTATATGAGAGTGTAAAATCACAAAGTAAGAGTATATTTAATATCATCTCATTAGATTTATTTGGTAATTTGTTCTAAGCAAATTGTAATTTGGATAAAATAAAGATCTCAATTAACGAATTATTTGTGTATCATCGAATAGATATCATAGTCATAGTCATTAAACTGATTGTTAGTAAAAATATGTACTTATAATAGGCTTATTGGAATTATTTATTGAAAAAGATTTAAAATATCGTTTTATGTGTAGAATTTTAAGTGTATAATTGATTGATAGAATTTTATATTGTAGTTAAACTTATAAGAATGAAACTAAATGTAAAAAACATGTGTGGCAAGAGTTTGTATAGATTGTTAAAATTCTGGAAATTGCATGACAAAAGAAATCAAAGAAAGGTTGAGACAGATTGGTAAACTATTAAGTCCGAAGAAGTACCAAGAGGTGGATTCGGTGCCCCGTGTTATTAAATAAATAAATGTCTAGCTGATGCTAACTCTCTACATACGCTTGAACCACATGAATCTATACTTTGTAGATCAACTCGTTTAATGTAGTCAAACACTTCTGATGTGTGGTTATTATTAATATTTACGCAATTACAATATCCTCACTGTTCTATAGCCAAAGCGATCAATATTATCCATTAGTATATGACTTAACGATGCGAATAAACTAAGCTTCTTGCCAGTTGCTTCCATTACAAACTGTCGATGAATGTAAAGGCTGCCATTTCATTTGCTCCCCAATCAGTACAACGTGAGTTTTATTAAAACTGGAGTAAATTAACACTGTCTTCTTATGTCACATCTAGTAAGTATATCATTTACAGTAGTTAATACCCTCCAATCCGCATTAGGCCAGCGTGGAGGGTTATGGCCCTTCCTCCTTAACCATCCATAAGGAAGGCCCCAGCAGTGGGGTCGTATAAGGGCTGATCGTGCTTTATCATGCTATATTTAGTCAAAATTCGGCAGATATGTAGATTTACGAAACAATGGCATAGAGTTTGACTCACACGAGTGCTTGTAACAACATACACTGAATAATTATTTGTATATTATGCTTTTAAATGTTCAAATTCTAATGAGAAACAATCATCAGATAATTTTGGCTACTTTAAATGATTCGATCAGTTTGATGACTGTATATTTATAAGCGAACGACATTGACTGTCAATTATTTATACTTCGTTGATGTTCTAAGTAGATTCTAATTATATTTTAAATGAGAGACAAGGTAGTTTAAAAGGAAAAAATATTTTCTAAATAATTAGAGGGACCTAATTTAAGTAGATAATCTTATGTTTAAATTGTCTATGTTTTTCTAAGAGTGTATGAATAATGAAAATGTTTATGATTAAGGTAGGAATTATGTGAATAAAATTTTAATTCTTATCATTATTTTGTAACGTTTTATAGAAAAGGCAACCAATAGACTATATTGGTGTTTTGATGTCATTCAGAATAAATCAAGTTCTTCATAATCTCAATTCAATATAAATAACTTATCTAGGCTCAATTGGCAGTAGAGGTATAAGCGAAAACTAAAAGAAATACAAAGAAAACAATATTTAAGTCTCAGAAAATATTTTTTTTTCGTGTGAATGGTGAAAAATTAGATAAAACTTACAATAAATATATAATTTATGTATTTCTATTTTTTCCCAACATTACTAACAGTAAGAAAATAATCGAATGTATGGTGTACACTATGATAGTGACTTCCAATTTAATTCTTTATTTTGGCACAAAACAGTCTCCATTCATCTTTTAGGAATACTTTGACCGTAGCAGCCAGCAATTTGATTAAAGTAATAATGGATATTTATCACTTAAATACTTGAAAAAGCAAGTGTTTCTAGAACCGGTCTCTGTTTGTATGTTAAAGGAATTTTGGATGTATTCGGGACTTATTTTCGTGCAGACTATATCTTTGCATCAAGGATATTGTTCTCAGAAATTTTCCAAAAAACTAAATTTTAATTAACAATACGCCCCAAGATTTTTTTTATAAAACGTCTTATTCTAGGACAGTTATATTTATCTGAGTAGAATATAATTTTAGCAAAGTCGTAATAACATTTTGAAAATAAATTTTGTTTTTAGAGAAAAAAGTCTCGATTTTTTCTTGTTCTTTGTGGTCTGTAACCATTATCCGTTAACTAACCGAGCGAATGCTTTTTCACCTGAGCTACCGAAGGCCTTCTGATACTAAAAATTTCTCAAATACTTATTCCTTGTTAGTGAGCGTAAACCAGTGTTTACGCTCACTAACAGGCAAGGCCTAGGTGCCTAGGGCACGCGACAAAAATCGCATCCTGGAATTGACTTTGTACCAAAAATATTTCAGGTGTCGAAAAGAAAATGCAAGTTTTAAAAAATTATGTATGATATTGCCAATGAGAACAATATACCTATAGAATAGATATTTACAAAAATAAGCGAAACCATACTACGATGTTCTAATAATGTAGCGCTATCTAGTAGATAAAGCAGGAATCATTAATTTTTAACAGTTACTTTATTTTAACTCTATATTATATACATTTGGAATCAGCAGCCCACGGCGTTTCGTACAACGTATTATTTCGCGGATACGATACAGACTTTTATGGATACCGATATGTATGGTATACTGTCAACACTCAACACTCATATAATATTTTTCATTGTCTTATCACTGTATATGGTTGTACGGGGTGGTGGCAGCGACCTATAGCGTCTTGTACAATAAATGCGTTATACTTTGCACAAACGATACAGATTCTATAGATACCGATACGTATCGTATACTGTAAACGCTCACATAGTATTTTGTTCATTGTCTTATCAGTGCATATTGTTGTGCGGGGTGGGATCAACGATCTACAGAATCCCGTATAACACAATGCAGGGCTTCGCGGTTCTACATACCGATGGATACCGATGTGTATCGTTTACTGTCAACACCTATATATTACTTTGGGTCTTCGTACGTTTTTAGCCTGCCCTAGAAACAAACTAACATAATAAATATATTCAAATAAATTCAAAACTAGCATAATAAATGTAAAATTCTCAAATAAATAAATCTTATAGATCTGCCTTTATAAGATTATCTGCTTTGATCATTCAACTGAATTAAAGTGCTCATTGTCTGTAATATTTGTCTTAATGTTTTAGGTATATTTTAGTCCTTAATTGAGTGTTTTGTTATATTAAACGTTTCCTAATAAAAAAATGTTTTATTTCATAAATGTACCATTTAGGTAATTTGAAAATTTTTTCATAAATGCCAAATCGAAAGATCACCCAAAGATCGAATATTCTCGTAGTATTTCAAAGAAAATTACTAATGAGATTGTATTGTAGATACGACTTCATCCGCCATTATTACATCTCCTACATCCTGCCTGGTAAACTAGTTGAGTGTCCTCAGCATTAAGTCCAGAATTTGCTATTCTTTACAAAAAAGACTAAATAAAAAAATAACATTCTTCAATGAATATGGATTGGAAGCGACTTTTTATAAAAACAAAAATAGTTTTAAAGAAGATGCCTGAAATGTAACTAACTGATACTAACAGTTTCTTATCACAAGAATTCCTAATAAGTACTTTGTAAAGGAACAATAAAACTTTTTCTTCCCGATATTTAATTTACTAATGAAATGTATCCTAATGATTTATAAATCACAATCTCTAATTTCTTGGGTTCAGCAAAAATATTAGTTTGTTTATGATAGCATGACAGGTGCTCATGATAGTATTACATTTGGTCAATAATAAACAATTATATTTTCCATTTTTTTAGATACATTTCGAGACATCTCTTTTAGTTTGAGAAAAGAACTATGAATAGTGATCTGACATACCTTGTTTAACAATATTGTTATAAATGGCTACTAAATAAATTGAAATTGAAAACGAACCGAATCAAATTAGCAAAAGGAGACGAACTAATATGGGGTAAAATCCCATTGTTAATTCATTAATGCTCATTTAACTAACTTACATTAACGTAATTATGTTTGCCGAAAATATAGTGCTAGTTGTAAAATATAGATAGCGTATATAACCTGTATTGCACATTCAACCACACATCAGGTTATCACTATATGTCAAATATCACTAAACTTTACCTTCAGGACATTATGGTTTAAAATCGAGTGGCAAAATTTGATATACTGATAACTTGATAGGCTATTTACTGTACAATTGTTTATTATCGTGAATAAAGCAAAATAAAAAAGAAACCAGAGAGTACTTATTTAATACGTAATTAACATCTACTGCGGTTGAGCAAACTGTTTGGTGCGGGGCAACCTAATTACTTTTCTCTAGTCCATCGGAACAGCTTGCAGGATGTGAGAGATTTCTTTTGCAACTTCCATGTGGAGCGTCTTCAGAGTGACATTAATATTGCATATTAAAGAATCATTATTATTGCATGTGGGGAACACTCGCAGATGGGATTCGGGTAAATCCTGGGAGACCCCGCAAGCTATGGACCTACT